GGCATAGTCAACGTCAGCGTCTTCGATGTCTGGATTTAATGTTGTTTTCCATCTGTAAATAGGACTGTTTCTTGCAAATGCCTCCAAATGCAGGTGGGAGAAAAGAGGACCAACATTCTTGGCATAGTAACCAGCACTAAGGCACCATGTAAAGGCTTAAAGATCAATAGAGCTTGTACTGAATAAGATGGGCTTATCATAAAGTAAGTCTATATGCTCTTTTTCTTTCTTTTGCTTGATCATAAGAGAAGAGGAACCAGAATTCGGTACCCATCCTCTTATCATTTCTATACTTTAGGTAATAGGTGGAACATTTTTTTCATAGATAAAAGTAGGATAATTGTGTAAAGTACTTTTAAGGTGTGTGTGTGTGTGTGTGTGTGTGTGTGTGTGTGTGTGTGTGTTTAATGCTGCAACTCCTCCTTGACAGATTTCAATCATTCGGAAAAGCATGGAGCAAAAACCATGTAGGTCACATTGACTCTCTCATTTTCTTTATCACAAATCAGGGATCATTCCTTTTTGAAATAACCATTATTAATATTATCTTGAAAGATGGCATGTTATAAGAGAGAGGGGTACTCAAGGTCCATAGCTATCTTTTAATGGTAGTAGTTTCTGATTACATAGTATTTAAGAAGATGTGATTTAGATGTCAGCTTATGAATCAGTATACTTTTTGTCACAAATAATAGAAAATCATACACTAACAAAAACAGTGTGATGGCTCTATTGGCTCCCAAGGACAAAAAGTTCAAAGGTAGTGCTGGCTGTAGCCTAAGGTTACAAGAATATGTCAGAAATTCCTGGGCTCCCACCTTGATTGTTGCTGTGTAGCAGAGAAGGGACAGCATCTGGACAGTCCTTCCTTCCCAGAGACAGAGCCAGCATTATTTTTGTCGTTTTTCTAAGAGACTTGCTTTTTCTTCAGTCAAACTTTTAATTTAGTTACAAGAGAATGGTTGAGTAATAATGCAGGCAACAATATATGACTTTATTTATTTATTTATTTATTTATTTATTTATTTTGTGTGTGTGTGTGTGTGTGTGTGTGTGTGTGTATGTGGGGATGTATCCAGTTTTTTCTTCATGCTTTACTTTGAAAATTGAAAATAAGTTCTGCTCTATATGTCTCATCTGAAAATTGAAAACTGCTATGAAAACTGAAAATAAGTTCTGCTCTATATGTCTCAACTCAAATGAGAGTTTTATCAAATAGTTCAGGATGAGAGGAGCAGGAATTCAATGATCTACACTAATAAAAGAAATATGCAAATTAACCATACCTCTGCAATGCCCACCAGCCAACCAGGAGTGGGTATGCAAATTAACCCAATAAAAATGGTAGTTTAATTTGCATACACAGGCACCCCACAGCCTAGGTCCCGGGAATATCCTCTGGATCCAGGCTACTCTGAGCCTGTAGGCCTGCACATAAGGCCTAAGCTACTGGAGTCTCAGAATGCCCCCAGCCACTCCTGACCTATAGCCTTGGAGTTGAGCAGCAGGGGGCAGGGTGGCAGAAGCTTGAGCAGAGCTAGAGTGGAGCCCAGGGGGCTCTGCCCCTGCCCAAATCGCAGCATAGGCATGTTTCATGTTTCATTCAGCTTGCAACAGAATCACCTGGAGGGCTTGCTAAAATATAGATTGCTGGGCCCAACCCCAGGGTTCCTTTTTTGCAAAAAATGTATTTTATTTCAGTACTAAGAGTCCCTCAGCCCAGCCTGCCCCCTCTCACAGACTGGGAGCCCTCAGGGATGTCCTACTGATGGCTTAGCTCCCCATGGAGAGATCAACAAAAGGACTGTGTTGCATGCATATAAGCCATGTGGTCATGGACAACATGGGGGTGGGGGCATACATGAGAAGGTGTTTGGGATGGGAATGGGGGAATGCGGACAAATATGTGATACCTTAATCAATAAAGAAATTTTTTAAAAAAGACCTTGCATCCAGCACCACCCCCCTTTGAGTAAGGACATATCACTATCACTTTTTTATTTTGAACAACTGATAAGGTTTATATTGATAACCATGAACCTCAACTGGCTTTTCAAATGATCCAGCCATCTTTCTCTGATGAGCTTACCTGCCCATGCTCTGCCATGATTATTTTATACCTTCTTAAAAAGAGAAAACTTAGAGTTTGCAAGTTGTATATTACATAAATCCAAAGGGTGTCATTGCTCTTACCTCTCGCAACTCCACTAAAGCTTTTTCCATTGGCCACTGGTGACCTCTGTGTTGCTGATCCAATGGTCTCTTCTCATTCCTCAGCAGAATCTTGTATCAATACAAATAATCCCTTCTTCATGGAATTCTTTCTTCCACTTCTTTTTAAGATTCTTTGCTGGCTTCTCCTCTTTTCATACTAAGTATTGGAATTCTTCATGGCCTTTTCTTGAGTCCTATTTTTCTCTGACTCTCCATTTTACACTGAATAAAGACTGGGAAGTAAAGGAGGTATAGTGTTCTAATTATTGAAGTACCATTTGTTGAAAATACATTCTTTCCCCATTGCATGGTCTTGGCAATCTTATGAAAATCAATGGCCATAGATATGTCAGTTTATTCTGGATTTTTAAGTTTATTGCAATGCCGTATGAATTTTAAAATCAGCTTTTCCATTTTTGCAAAAGAGGTCAATGATCTTTCTTGATAAATTTTTTAATAAAGTAAGAATTGTATATTTCCTTAACATAATAAAAGTCAGTAGCATGTTCATTGTAAAAACATTAGAAATAACCTCATTAAGTTCCTTAACTAAATAAGAATGTCTATATGATTGTAATTATGTAATGATGTTCAGGAAGTATTATTCAATACATTTACAAAAGAGTAATTAAAAATATGAAAATTAGAAAGAAGAGGTAAAATTAACTCTATTTGTAGCTAATATGACTGCAGACATGAAAAACCCAGGAGAAACAATTGAAAAACTATCAGGCACAATAGGAACACTAAGTTGGCAGCATACAAAATTATTATACAGAAATCAATAGCTTTCCTATATACTGTATAATCAAAGTTTAGAATATATAATAAAAGAGTTCATTTTGCAAAAATGGAAAAGCTGATCTTAAAATATCTAAAAATAAATATGATAAAGAAATGTGACCAAACACTTTGGGGAAAAAAGGAGAAAGTTCTAGATCATACCAGAGTTTGATGTGCTGAATAATGGCCCACCAAAGACATCCACATCCTTATTCCTGGAATGTGTGGCTATGTTACCTTACATGGGAAAAGAAGGTTTGTATGCCTGACTAGGGTTCCTGAGATGGGGAGTTCATTCCGGATGATCTGGATGGGCCCACTTTAATGACAAGGGTCCTTATAAAAAGGAGACAGATTATGGTGGGAAAGAGAAACTATGACAATAGGAGCAGAGGTTGGAGTGTGTGCTTTAAAAATAGAGGAAGGGGCCACAGCTAATCAATGAAGGTAGCCTTTGGAAACTAAGTAGGTAAGGGAGCATATTCTCTCTAGATTCCCTGGAGGGAAGGAACTCTGCCTCCATCTGGATTTCAGACCAGTGAAACCCATTTTAGATTTTGGACCTCTGGAACTGTATGAGAATTAACACCTATTATTTTACTAGAGTCCCTAATAAAATTTCATGCACTCTTTGGGGAGGGGCCCCTCAGCCTGGCCAGCACTCTCTTGCAGTCCAGGACCCCTAGAGAGATGTATGACTGCCAGCTTAGGCCTGCTTCCAGTTGGACTTCCTTAGCACTGTGCTCGCAAGCCTTGAGCTGGCTTCTGGCTGAGTGGCAATCCCCCTGTGTGGAGCGTCTGCCCTCTCGTGGTCAGTGTGTGTCATAGTGACCAGTGTTTCCACTGTTGAGTTGATTTGCATGTTAGCCTTTTATTATATAGGATACCACTGAGTGTGATAGTTTGTTACAGCAGTAATAGGAAACCAGTAGTCTCAATGACAAAAATGACATGAGCAAGGGAAAGGTATTTTACAGTCCTGCGGTAAGTGCTTGAGCTAATCTCAAGCACTTGTCAAATTGATGCCATTATAATTAACTAGTTATTAATAACAGCAAAGGAGCAAAGGGAAGGCCAAATATCATAGGCATGACATTTTGGCAGCTTGGCTAAGAAGCTTTACACTCCCCAGGGGTTTGACGGAGGGGAGATAGACAAATGTATGCCCAGTAAAGTTGGGGGAACTAGCAAAGGTACTTGTCTGTCAGTCCAGCTGGGGGCAGAGGTCATTGGCCAGAATGGGTACGGCCTTACCTCCAGCACTTAGTGGGAAAGAGTTACCCCAACTTTCCCAATAACAAAACTGACAAAGTTGATCTGAAAATGTACCTCAACCCCTAGATATACCCTCCACTTTAAGAGGTAGATGCTATCATCTCCATTCTACAAATATGAAAATTGAGACAATAGGATATTATCTGAGAACACAAAGCTATCCTGGAACATAGCTGCCATTTGAATTCAGGCAGTCTGGCATCTGGCTCCATGCTCATAACCACTGCCCACATGTACATTATAACTTGATTACTATATATAGGTTACAATTGGCCCATATCCTAAGGACAGTCCTCTTATCTTGTTAACAGATCTTTTTTATGGGAAAGGTGTTATGCATTTGTTTGTGTTTTGAAATATACAGTGTTATTAGTTTTTTGTTTTGTTTGTTCAGTAAAAGAATTGAATGCCTTTGCAGGGAAAAGCCAATACCACTTTTAGCATGCATCTTGCTGTTTGTGGGTGTCTGTTCTGATACAATTTTCAATTCCAAGATTGATTTAAGTCACAATTTTCAATTAGATGATGGGAATGTTATCTCTAAGGAGTGGATTATGTTCACAAAGCGAAAATAACCAAGAACACAGAGATAATGTTGCTAAATAAATGGTTCAAAATCCTTTGAGTTGTAACCCTTGCTTTCATCATATAAGGGAAAATTGTATATGAGTTTAAATTTGGCTTTTTTAGAAATGTCAGATCAAATTATGTTTTTTATTTCTTTTTAGGATTTCATCAGGGGTCTTTCCATTTTGCTCCGAGGGACAGTACAAGAAAAACTCAACTGGGCATTTAATTTGTATGACATAAATAAAGATGGTTACATCACTAAAGAAGTAAGAAATACCTCATCAACAGCTATCCTTTGGGATATTTTCATTTTTAACTTCAAAATGTTAATTGCACATTTGCAACTTTTAATTTGAAAATGGCCCTTTCAAGAAATGTAAAATATTTCATGTAGTGGTAGACAAATATTCTAATAGAAAATCTGGAATGGATAGGAATAGTGGATGGTGAATCTGCAAAATAGATTTAAAACATGTAAGAATTATTCACTTGTTTCCTAATGGCATTTCAATAAACACTATGAATGAAATATAGACTCTGGTTGGAATCAGATAGGAAGACAATGTATCTAAATCATGTTAGAATATTTGGCCTGTGACCTCTCTCCTACCCGTCCTCCCAATCCCCCACCTCCCATATAATGTGGTCCACATTACACACATAGAGGTGTGTGTAATGAGCTGGATGACTTTTATGGTGTGGGAAGTGACCTCATGGAATGGTAGGACCTCCCAAATCCTTCAGGCCCGCAGACCAAATAAGATATTCAAGTCAAATGGTTTGAATTTAAAAATAATTTAAAGCACAAGGAGAAGCAAGGGAAAGGGGATGGTAAGTTAACTAAGTTAGGATAAGGTGCAAGTAAGGTGGAAGGATCACATTACCTGAGTCCTGGGTCTGTTCAATCTTCTTATGTCCTGTCTTTTTCTCTGGCTCATTGGCTTTTCCCCAGAGGTGAGATTTGAGCGAGAAGCTCCTCAAATAAAAGGTGTCCTTGGGTCAGTGATATGAACTTGCTCTACCAGAAACGAAGGGGCAGGTGCACCTGATCACACTTATAGCAACAAAATTAGCCTGGTCAGCGGCCATAGTTTTTATTTATGTTTCCTGAGCAGAGAATTCATGGAACCAGAATGTTTCTCATCAATGGGTGGCTGAATTAAGAACTCACGAATATTAATCTTTTGTGTATACTGAGCATATCCTGGATAGTTAGTGCCTCTTGTATATTTGGTATCCAATAAGCATTTAGTACTCAGATGCCTCAGGAATATTAGATATCTCTTGGTCCTCCAATCCCTTACTATTCCTGTCTTTGTTTACTACAAACATGCTGTTCTTGCTCCTTATACGTGACATATCTCATGAATTCTGCCTATGGCAAACAAACTTCTTACTACTGCTCTAAACTCAGAACACCTTTGAAAGTTACACCTATGATTTATAAACTACAGACTATTTATTATTTATAATAGAACAGAATACTCTCGAAAGTAAATGTTGTATCAACCTAATCAAGATCCTTTTATGTGAAAAATTCAATATAAAGGAAACAAACATTAAACAATAAACCTGAATGTCTAGGTAGATATTATTTTCACTAAGATTGAAAATAAGTTGAAAACTAATTTTTAATAAAATCATTAAAAAATAATGATATTTTAAGATGCATCCCAGAGTCATAATATTTTGACTAATTTACATGTGTGATTTCCTCAGTTAAAACGGTAGTGGAAGGAAAAGAAAAACCAACACTAATGGAAGTCCTAATGAGCTTTGATTTTTTTAGTATAATTCTTGTGATGTAAAGTTATATTTTATTCTCAATTAACACATTGATAATAAACATGTAAGATCTATAATTACTCAATAAAACAAAGGCAGTCTGTGTGAAGTCTACAGAGACCCAAACACTAACCCAGAGTTTTGTTGATCATGTTCAATATGTTGGAATTTACTTCCTGTTGAAACCAAGGTCAGAAATAATTCTTACATTCTCATTCTGCTGCTTCAAAAGCACAAAGCTGTTGTCTTTTCCTCACAACTGAAAGGCATTTATTGAAGAATCGGAAATTTGAAATTGAGTAGAAATACCCTGTTAGACTTTCTGGGTGGTTTCCTAGCATATTGCTTGCAGCCTGACGAGTGTGCCTTTGGCGTTTCAGGAGATGCTGGATATCATGAAGGCAATATATGACATGATGGGTAAATGCACATATCCTGTCCTCAAAGAAGACGCTCCCAGACAACACGTGGAGACATTTTTCCAGGTAGGGATGCATATGGAAGCCAGAGGGAAACAAATTAAGAAAACATTTACTGTTTTCAAAGTTTCACAGTGATTCAAAAGAATGTAAAGTAAAAGAGCATTTAAATGACAGGGATAAAAATGATATATTTAATGACAAAATGTTATCAAAGAAAACTTTAATATATTGTATATATTAAAAATAACTCTATGGAAAATAATAAAATATGTTTAACTATAAAAAATGATAGATATTTATCATCTTAACAATTTAATAATTTTGGTTTTGAATAATTATAATACTGATAACTATAGAACATTCACAATATCCTACATAGAATACTAATTTATCGCCATGTTTCACATGTAGTTGCTTTTTAGTTTAGTTCTCATGAGAACCCTATAAGGTTATAAATCCTTATTAACCCCCCAAAATTTCAGCAAATTGCGAGAACTCTGGCAGGGCTGGAAGACAGGGTTTCATCTAGGTCAGTGACTAGGTCTTTACCACATTCTGTTGACAAAGAAAAGCCTAGAAGAAGTCAGCCAGATGATTCCTATGAATTGGAAATTACTCGTTGGTTCTGAGGCAGTTCCTCCCAAAACCAGTGGGTTTTGTTTTGTGGTTTTTCATTTTTTTTAAATATATATTTTATTGATTTCAGAAAGGAAGGGAGAATGAGAGAGAAAAACATCAATAATGAGAGAGAATCATTGACCAGCTGCCTCCTGCATGCCTCCTACTGGGGATAAAGCCCCACAACCCAGGTATGTGCCCTTGACCAGAATTGAACCTGGGACCCTTCAGTTCATAGGACAACTCTCTGAGCCAAACCAGCTAGGGCTTATTTTTGTTGTTGTCTATCAACATCAGCTCATTTGGTGAAGGTATGAGGGTATCATGGGGAAATATGAATAAAGTGTTTTATTCTTTTCTTCCTGAACAGAAAATGGACAAAAATAAAGATGGAGTTGTTACTATAGATGAGTTCATCGAAAGTTGCCAAAAAGTAAGTAATGGTAGTAAAAGAACCATCCGTTTTTGCTTTTGTAACAGTTAGACTGAGTATTGCCAACTAGCCACCATGAAGTGAGAAGAATATAAAGATCACAGGCCTAAGTTTATGGCTTTTACAGCTGAGGTAAGCCCATGCCCTAAATAATCACCAGTTTCTACTTTGAATTGATAGGCATTTGTAGAGTGCTCACAGTAAGCCCTGGAGATGCGAAAGTCGCACATAGACTGAGTTTTGTTCCCTAAAAACTTTAGAGAGTATTCATCATTGAGAATAAAACACCCGGGAGATTTACATTGCTCTTTGCCTAGACTTAGCCTATAGCATGTATATTGTCAATCATATTTCCACAGCTTTAGAATTCCAGGACAGCTAAGTATTCAGCACAGGCCAGTCTTATAGCCAGTTTCTCAGATAAACATCATTGTGCTAATATGTATGGGAAAGAAATGGCTTTGGGTTGAAGCAGTAATGGTCATCAGTCACAAAAAAAAAAAAAAAAAAAAAAAAAAAAAAAAAGAGCCATAAATTTAGAGGGAAAATCAGGCTGGCTGGCTCACCTGGCCGGAGGCCAGTTTCATCTTACCTAGCATTCTCTGGCCCCGTGTGTGGCTAGAACAACAATTCACAATTTAAAAAATAAATTTTAAATTGTGTAGTGCTTTAGCTTTTCTATTTATGAATTGATGTACTTTCCCTTTCCTGTCACCTGCTTGTTTCTAAACTCATGTTTAAGCTGGTGGACTTTAGGAGAATCAACCTGCTAGTGCTGCTGTTGTGGCCTGGCTTCAAGGGGTGCAAGTCAGCATTCGTTCAGCTAGCATTTACCCTTCAAGAACAAGCTCACTGGCCACCATTCACATGCAGTCTCCAAGTGCCCTGTGATACCCGAAGTCTAACTCTTACATTTCTAAGGAATATGCTAAACCAAACACAGCCACAGGGCAATGGTTTTTCCTAAACAATTCTTTCTCTGGTGCAGAGAGACCATTAAAAAAAAAAAAAAAAAAAAAAAAAAAAAAAAAAAAAAGAATAGTTGATTGATTTTTTACTTTAAAAAAAAAATCTTTATTGTTCAGATTACCGATGTTCCTCTTTTCCCCCTTCATAGCTCCCCTCCACCCAATGCCCCCCACCACCTCATGCCCTTACCCCTCGCCACTGTCCTTATCCATAGGTATAAGATTTTTGTCCAATCTTTTCCCACACCCCTCACACCTCCTTTCCCCCATGAACTGTCAGTCCACTCCCTTTTTATGCCCCTAATTCTATTATATTCACCAGTTTATTCTGTTCATCAGATTTTTTATTCATTTGATTTTTAGATTCTCTTATTGATAGATATGTAGTTGTTTTTCATAATTTTTATCTTTACCTTTTTCTTCTTCTTCCTCTTCTTAAAGAATACCCTTTAGCATTTCATATAATACTGGTTTGGTGCTGATGAACTCCCTTAGCTTTGCTTCTCTGTGAAGCTCTTTATATGACCTTCAATTCTAAATGATAGCTTTGCTGGGTAGAGTAATCTTGGTTGTAGGTTCTTGCTGTTCATCACTTTGAATATTTCTTGCCACTCCTTTCTGGCCTGCGAAGTTTCTGTTGAGAAACAGCTGACTGTTTTTCTCTTGCTGCTTTCAAGGTTCTCTCTTTATCTTTTGCCCTTGGCATTTTAATTATGATGTGTCTTGGTGTGGTCCTCTTTGGATTTCTCTTGTTTGGGGTTCTCTGCGCTTCCTGGATTTGTAAGTCTATTTGTTTCATCAGGTAGGGAAAGCTTTCTGTCATTATTTCTTCTAATAGGTTTTCAATATTTTGCTCTCTCTTCTGCTGACACCCTCATAATTCAGATGTTGGTATGCTTGAAGTTATCCTAGAGGCTCCTTACACTATCTTCATATTTTTGGGTTCTTTTATCTTTTTGTTTTTTGGTAGGTTGTTTTTTGCTTCCTCATATTTCAAATATTTGATTTGATTCTTGGGGTCCTCTTGTCTACTGTTGGATTTCTGTATATTATTCTTTGTTTCAGACACTGTATGCGTAATTTCTGACTGGTCCTTTTCCATTTATTTATGTATTTATTTATTTATTTAGGCATTCTCATTAAGATCCTTGAAGGTCTCATTAAGTTCCTCGGAGGTTTTTAGAAGATTCTTGAGTAATCTTGTAACTGTGGTTTTGAACTCTATATTTAGTAGTTTGCTTTCCTCCATTTCTTTCATTTGTGATGTTTCTTTGTCTCTGCATTTTGGCTGCTTCCCTGTGTGGTAGGTGACCTATAGGGCCCAGTGACTCAGCCTCCCTAATCACCTGAGGTGGACATTCTTGGTGCACCCTTTTGTGGGCTGAGTGCACAGTCTTGTTGTAGTTAAACCTTGATTGCTAATGGTACACTGGGAGGAATTGACCTCCAGGCAAACTGGCTGTGAGGACCCACTCTATCTACAATATAATGGAAGAACTGCTGTGCTGGAGATACCCTTATGGGGCAGGACTTGCTTCATTGGGTCTTTGGTGCTCACTGAATCTGCCTCTTGAGCGTGTCACTTATGGATGTGAGGAGTTGAAATCTGATATGGTTTCACACTGACCACTAGGTACACTGGCTCCTGGATCTCCAAGGAGGTGCAAGTCAGCTACTGCCTGAGGCCACCCAGCAGGAGCTACAGTGAGATCTTCAGATTTCTCCTCTTTTTCTCCTTTGTTTGGGGTTTGGAAGTTTTGGAGTTGTCTGACCCAGCTGCAGTTTGTTAGGTTAAGCTGCAAAAGGGTAGGCAATTCATATGCAAAAGCCACTGTGCAGTTTGATAGGTTTGTAAATTGGGTGGGTAGGGTGTCAGGGAATCACTAGGGCATAGAAAGCAGTTGTCTGTCTTTGCATCTCCACGACCTACACCCCAGTGCAGTAAACAATTATTCCTACTCACACCTCTGGGTAATCTTGGTTGTAGAAAAAGTCACCATCACTTTCTGACCTGAAGCCAGACAGTCCAGCTTCTCCCCGTAGGAGATTGGATCTCCAGAGTCTCTCTGGAAACTGGAGTTCAGAGTAGAAGGGAGCTTGTATCTCCTTCCCAATTGAAAAAAACAGTGCACCTAGTCACCAGCCTTATTCGTGCACTTCCGTACCTCTGCTATTCTGTGCCTCTGCAGGTCCTACCCAGTCTCTATGTGATTTTTTCTTTTATTCTAGTTGTAGAACTTCTCCTCAGCCAGCTTTCCTGTGGTTCTGGGTGATAGTTGTCTTATCCTTTAGTTGTAGTTTTGGTGTGGTTGTGAGAGGCAGCATGTACAGGTGTATACCTTATGCCGCCATCTTGGTTTCTCCAATTGATTGATTTTTTTTAGAGAAGAAAGAGAGAGAGGGATAGAGAGAAACATCAATAGACTTCCTTCCACATGGCCCCTAACAACTAGGTATGTGCTCTTGATCGGGAATCAAACCAGCAACTGAGCCACAGCAGCCAGGGCAAGGCCATTCATTTTTAAAGGCTCAGAACAGCCACACAGAAATAGCTCTAACACATGCAGAAACAGGTGTAAACACATCCCAAAGCTCCAGCCTTCAGTCCTCACAAAGTTGGCTCTTAACTCACACAAACTCTGTTTCCTTCTATATGTTCAAGTCTGTGACCCACCTGGGATGTCAAAATTTGCATTTCTTTTCTTTTTTTACTGATTCTTCATTCTGGCATCTGATTTGAGAAATATCCTCTATGAACAAGTGTGATTTAATCCTCACCAGAGGATATTTTTCCCATTGATTTTTTTTAGAGAGTGGGAGGGAGAGGGAAAAATAAAAGGAAAACACCAACGTGAGAGAGACACATTGGTTGGTTGCCTCCCACATGCTCCTGACCAGGGCCAGAAGCCTCAACCCAGTTACATGCCCTTGACGGGACTTGAACCCAGGACCTTCAGTCTGCAGGCCAAAAGTCTACCCACTGAGTCAAACTGGCAAAAGCAACACCAAGTGTGATTTAAATGAATTATTTAAAGTCTGGTAGACTCAACAAAACCTAACATGGGCTCTCCAGTTTTCTATATGGGGCACACAGATGGTTGGAAAATGGCAGTACTTCGAGGGAAAATGGTGTGTGCAGCAGGTTCTCAAATAACATAATGTGGGACAGTGTTATTTATGTTCACTTAATGTTTTGTTATAATGCTGATATGCCATAGGGACTTAACTCGTTTATATCAATTAGCTCATGGTAGAATTGGTTTCCTGTACATCATTTCACTTTGTCACAGGAACTATCAGTGATGCTGAGGGTTTGCTGTACTTGCCTCAGAAATATGCTCAGTTTAATCCCGCTGTTTCTCCCTTACAGGATGAAAACATAATGCGCTCCATGCAGCTCTTTGAAAATGTGATTTAACTTGTCAAATCCATCCTCAGACAAATGTGAATGATCCTACCACACAAGTGGGAGCTGCCACTTTTAGCATAGACTGCTCGGCTTGACACTGAGGCATATTATGCAAACCAGCTTTGTTTTCATATGAAGCAGTCCCCAAAAGATTTGAGTTCTCCATTTTTCAATTTGCCTCCTTTTCATAATGCAAATTTCATGGGATGGTCTAAGTCATTTCACACCCTGTGGATATTCAAAAATAATAGAATCTGGCATATAGGTTTACTGATACTTTAGCCATGGGATCATTGAGGCTTTCACATTATCAGTGACTTTAAAATGTTTTCTGCTGCTCCTTTGTAGGTATTCAACCCCAGGATTTTAAATGGTTTTCTACAATGTTGGCATCTGCATTTAATTTCCAGAAATTAATTTCCAGGTTTGTGTGCTGTAATTCCACTGTGTACTTAAGTGAACAAGACTACCACACTTTAAGAAAGCAACAGTCCCAGTTCCTATGAATTTGCTGCCTCCACTTAAAAGACATTCATCTATCTGGCGGTTTTTTAAATAGTATGAAACAAATTAATTCATCACCAGATGTCCATATATGCCGAATAGCTTATTTAATAAGCATTTCTTAATTTTTCATAAATACATATCAAGACAAGGCCTATATGATGTTTATAATTTTGGGTTTGCTCAATTTGACAGGTTAACTATTTATTCTATTGTCACTAAGTGAAAGCCCAAGAAGGTGGGAGACACAGTGAGGGTGTTTATAGGTACATGCAAAAGGTCACAACATCTGTCCTCCAGTCCTGGTAATGCTCAATGAGGAGCCATTTTAATAGCATTAAAAGCCTATTGCATCTCCTCCTGGACTCCCTCATGGCACCTTTATGCTACATGCCATCAGGGCAAAGAAACCCAACTACTCCAATGTGTGCTAGGAAGAAACGGCAAGCAGAAGTCACTTTGAAAGCACCAGTGATTCCATTATAGCCAGAACTCCAATTCCAAAATTTAGTTGAAAATACATATCAAGTGCTAAGCAACTCATCTGGAAGGTGTTATGATTTAGCTTCTCATAAAGATTCTTTTTAACACTCTTAAACCAAAATTGTAAAGTTGCCATAACATGACTTAAAGAGACACACACCTTCCCTGTTTTGCAGAAATATCACCAAGACCAAGAGGTTACTGTAGGAGGAAACTTGCAACTGTCTTTGCAACAATAAATCAGGTATCTATTCTGGTGTAGAGATAGGATGTGGAAAGCTGCCCTGCTATCACCAGTGTAGAATTAAGAGTAGTACAATACATGTACACTGAAACTCGCCATCGCGTATTTGTGTAAACTCAATGTGCACATTTTGTATTTCAAAAAGAAAAAAATAAAGCAAATAAAATGTTTATAACTCTACTGTATCTCATAGGTCTTTATTCCAACAAATTTTATAATTACTAGATTAACAATATTTTTGCTTATGATATCTTTTAGATTGCAGGTATCTTTAGCTTGGGTGGCGCTGAGTGCAATGAGAGAGAGTTAGAGCGAGACCAGGGCAAGCAGACGTTGTAGCTAATATGACCTGAGGACGTGACAAGTGAGACCTGAGGAAAGAGTGTACCAGGCAGGGACCCAGGAAGCACATAAGATCCAAAGGAAGACGAGCACTTCTGCAACTACTATGCTTCAGAAATTACTATTTGCATTCTTTTCAGTTACAGCTGGAGACTAAAGTGAGACTGCCAAGAGGTCACTCCAGGTACTGGTTTCCTCTGATGCTTCTGGAATATGCTATCACTGCCCCTATGTAAGAGTGACCCCTCATGTGCCTTGGATTTGGTGCGACGACTCGTTTCTATGGGCTCCCTTGTTGCCCTTGAGGTGGAAGGTCTTATTCTCTTATCTGTTTCTCTTCTCCTCCTTCCTCTTGGATATGATCCAGAGTCAGCTTCTACTGCATCAACACCCAGGACGATGCCTGTAAATTTCAAAAGCCTTTTAAATTTAATTCAACATAAGCAAGCACAACAAAATCACTGACTGCATAGAATGAACATTTTACTTTCTGAATCTCTTCATTTACTGAATTCAGACTATGAAATACAAAAATAACATTTGCATAATACAATTGACACCTAGAGTTTAGATAGTTTTAACGAGTTGTCATAAACAACATACTTATAAGAGAATTTACACATTAAAAAAAAAATGTTAAATTAGAATCCTCTGGAAAGAACTTTTCCTAAGCATTCTACATTATAAAAGACATATTTACAAACAATAATAAATAGTGAATTCACAAATGTCCACTATTTTAAATTTCCATAGCCTTGGTAAATATTAAATCCAGAAATGGCAAAATATCTAGAAGTAAATATACAGCTGTAAACTGATTGCAAAAGGGCTGTTATAAACAAAAGGCACTAGAAAATAAATACGAATGCTTATACCATAAACCCAATAATGGCTGTTGACAAAAACCATATAAATATGAAAAATAAACCCCACAAAACTGTCCTATTATAGAACCTCTTAAATTCCTTTCCATTATTAACCATCCTTTTTTGCTATAGAATAACTTACTGTGATTCAGTGGAATTGTGCATATTCATCTGAAACTAGTAAATGATGAATGGTGGCTGTGGTTACAAAAGAATAGCCCACAGCGAAATGAGTCGTCCCCACAGGTACCCACGGCCAGCGTGTAACACCTGTCACCAGGCAGGAAGATCTGTCGCTCCCTTCTTCAACAACTTATGGAGCAGTATGTTGGAATTTTAGCTTTGATGATGATAAGGCTTCCCTGTCAACAGAAAGAAAGAAAGCCCCGTTAGTATCATGGAGACTTCCCCTAATAATATTACATTTCCAAAAGCATGCCTCAAAAAGTATCCAAAATTCAAACAAAATGGGCTAAGAATAGGATGATGAAATGAGAAGTGAAACTTTTTTCCTGAGTTAAATAAACTGTAGATTATCTTTTACTGTTTTTAAAAAATATGTAACCATCGTAGTTAGCAATCAGACCACCAGCATGAATTCAGTCACTTCCTATCAAATCCGGGGTAGTTGTATCTCTGTGCCGCAGATTCTAGATCTTTTGAGGGGGATAACAGCCAAACCTTCCTCTGAGGGGTGTAGTAAGCATTAAATGATTTTAATGTCTAAAAAGTACTCAATAAAATACCCAGCATGTAATATTTCCCCACGTATTCAATAAGATAGGGGTGTGTGTGTGTGTGTGTGTGTGAAGTATGTACCTAAGACAAATGTGCATATCAACTAGAAAAAAAAACACAAGCTCAAATGAACCACTCTCCATTTAAGGTGGGTTATAAATGGATTAGTTATAAGAAAATGACACTGTGACTATCTGTAGCTGTTATTGTTTTCCCCCCAGAAGTTGAGTCTTTCCATTATTGTGATATTTTCAGGCCCTAGAAGTGAGAAACTACCATATTGAGAACATTTTTTTTTAAAGACTCATTTCTAAATATTTAAATAAAGAGGAAGGAAAATAAACCTTTACATTTTAGAAGGGGAAGAAGAGCATCCCTTACTTTCATGAAGAACTACAAAGTATCCAAAGTAAGTACAACAGTCATCAGCCCAGGGAAACACTTTGATAAGTGATCATATGCTATGTAATAATTGATGGAATTGTAAAGAACATTTGCAAATACATCAATTACTGTTAAAATCTTATGTAAGATATTATGACTTCAAAATCTTTGTTTATTCTCATGATTCAAAACAATGAGTCTGAGCAGCAAAAGAGTTACTCCCTTGCTAGTTATCTGAGACCCTGGATTGATCAACTACATCCCAGGTGTTCCCCCTCCAAATCTTACTGTGCTATTTCTAAACTTTATGCACAAACTATCTCCTCCTCTACAGGCACATCCTGACTTACTGGACCTGCCCCTTTCTCACACCAGTCCACAGAATGTGTGAAGAACACCTAGGAAGAGTTTCAGATTGAAAAGCTATGTCATCATTAGCAGGCATCTGTTTACTTGCATTTCACTAGAAATTCATTTTCCATTCCGGTTCTCAGAGCAGCAAACACATATGCAAGCAATATGAATTTCTCTTCTGCTGAGGATAGACACGGGGTTGGCTAGGGGACGGTTTTGTGCATCACCACAAGGTGTTTGAATGCTAATCCTCTGTCTGGGACCCAGAAGTTGATAAAATTGAGTAAAGTAAGTAAAGCTAAACTAAAATATCTGCCATTTTAAACTATAATTTCTTACATATTTCTTCATAATTAATTCCTTTTGAACATACCTAGAATGAGACTAAGTTGTGCAATGTTAAGATAATCACATGTAACTCTCTTCACTAAGCTCCAATTAAATGTAAGCTCCAAATCAAGATGGGAACATGGCTTTATGGGAATATTTGCAAGACTAGATTATCTGAACACTTCTTTCAAAAGATGAAAGCTCAACCTAGTTATTTGATAGCACACAGATAATGAAATCACCTACATTCCCTCACCTTTTTGCCAGTTAAAATAATTAACTGAGTCAGCCCTGTGTGCTGCACACACACCTGCTCACATTCCAGCAAGCGAGCACTTGCAGACATATCAAAGCCATTTCAATCTTTGTTTATGGGCAAATTACAATTTTTTTAGGCAGAAAAGATAGCAAATGAAAGGAAAAGTACTCTTTCTTCAATGAGCTCTCTATGTTAATCCTTCAGTCTTACAAACTTTTAAATGGTCAAAGCAAAGACACCCCAAATAAAGAAAACAAGCTGTAAAGCTGCCTCACACGATTGCCACATAGTAAGCACAGCGGAAGCGTACACACCCTGTGTTCACACAACCCGGGGCAGAATCCCAGTGCTCAGAAGCCTGCGACCCAGGAAGACAAACTCAGGGCCCTCACATGGATAGCACTATCAGCTCCACATGCTACTTGCCAATGAAGAGGCAATGCATTATGCAGTCTAATTTGCAAAATGATTAAAGGTAAGAACACAATCAGGACTGAAGTAAGACTGTCTCACTTACACTTCCACCATGCTGCTCCAGCTTCTGCAATGCATTCGTGATCGGCTCTTTGAACTTCTTGTCCCTTAGTCTCTTGAATAGCTTTAAAAATAAGATTGGGGGAATGAAATGATTTTAAAAAGTAGTAATATTTACTTTAAGCGTAAGTAAAGCTTCACTAAAAAGTAAGTTAACTAGAAATAATGTCACTTAACCTTTACTGTATAAATACAAACAGTACAAACACCACTTATTTTAGGCTTCTTTCAAGAAATATCATTGAAATAGATGCCATTTTATTTGCTGGGGCAATAAATCCATTCATTTAATTATTTCTAATAATGTCAATCCTATAAAATATTCTACAATGTGGTATCCAGAGTACGTTTTCTATAACATTGCGTATTTTTCCATTTGGTAACTTGCAAGAGCGTTTGGAGAACTATGATGAAAAGCTAAGCCTCTAAACACATGTGCTTCCAATAGTAAAAATGGGAAGAGACAACAGAGCATCTACATGAGTAACTGTGAAACAGTGAGAGGGCGGTCAGACTAGGAACCACAAGAGCACGTGTCCCTAGGTGTGTCCAGAATGGGCCTCTGACTGCAGGGGGAAATGACTGGTCTGTCCAGGTGAGAGAGGAGAATCACAGAGCAAAGAGGGAAATCACA